CACCTGTCGTCTCACACACTGCGCCACATACGACACGAAAGCTTTGACCCTCACCATGAAGCCTTTCCCACACCCTCCTCACTACTCCTCTCGCCTCCTCACCATTCATCAGTTGTATACCTGGCCACCTCATTGTATACCCGACCACCTCATTGTATACCCGACCACCTCATTGTATACCCGACCACCTCATTGTATCCTAGCCACCTCATTGTATACCCGACCACCTCATTTATCCCCGACCACCCATTGTATCCCTGGCCACCTCATTGTATCCCTAGCCTCATTGTATCCCTGGCCACCTCATTGTATACCCGACCACCTCATTGTATGCCCGACCACCTCATTGTATACCGACCTCATTGTATACCCGGCCACCTCATTGTATACCCGACCACCTCATTGTATCCTGGCCACCTCATTGTATCCCGACCACCTCATTTGTATCCGACCACCTCATTTAGCATCTGGCCACCTCATTGTATCCTGCCCACCTCATTGTATCCCTACCACCTCATTGTATACCCAACCACCTCATTGTATCCTCTCACCTCATTGTATACCCGGCCACCTCAGTTAATATGACGCGAGATAAATTACCAAGCCGGACTATTTCTCCTACGTGTCCCAACTGTGGCCACTAACTCTGTCGCCGGGAATGTTAACAATGTTTTATTTTTCTTTTCTTTCACCCGGGATCACGTGAGCTGAGGCTACTGGTGTTAGAATGATTATGAATGAAGGTATGAAGGAGAAGAATGATCCACGAACATTCTAAATCACATTCTACAGCATCTTAAGTGGTTAAGTAAATGACTATAAAATCCTGTTCTGTCGTTCTTTTGGTGTGTGTGTGTGTGTAACATAGATCAACATAACACGCACATCACCACTACATAACATACACACATCACCACCACAACACACACACACACACACACACACACACACACACACACACACACACACACACTGCAGGAGCCATAAATAAGGTGCGGGGATATACACTGGGTGGGTGACCTTGACGGCTCCAGTGACCACAAACAAAAATCAATTACTTGCTGCTGCACCAAAACCACCACCACTACTACCACAACTACCACAACTACCATTACCACCACACCAACCCTCCACCACCACTAACTACACCACACAATCTGCCAACACAATTACAATACGCTTGTTGGTCCATGAGTAGCGACCAATGGTAATAACTCAGGGGGTAAATAACAGGTAACAAGACCATACGGGAAGACATTATTCCTCAGTATTACACCTGGGGGAGGTTATTGGGGAGTGCTGGACCTATTTTAGACCGGATGTTGACTCACCTCCCCTCCCCAACCTGCTTCTCTTCCTCCTCCCCAATTCTCCCTATCCACCTACCCCCCCACCACCCAATATGGCTCGTAATAGGGTGCTGATATTCAAGGTGCTGACCCCGACAGCCCCCTCCTCACCCTCCTGCTCACCCACTTACGCTCCTTCTCACGGACTCATCCACCCACCTACTCACCCATTCATCCAGGACCTTGTAATCAACGACCCCTTATATGACTCAAAATACCGTGTGTGTGTGTGTGTACTGATGCACCCTAAGGTCACTGTAGACCCCTCCAAGCAAGGTCATTCTACCCTTCCATTACCCCCCTCTCCCCCTTACTACACCACCCTCCCCCCCTCACTTGCACCAACATCCTCCCCTTCACTCTTTCTATTCTATTACCTCCCCCTCCTTACCTCCAACACCCTCCCTCTCTACCTTCCCCATCCTCTCCCTCCCTTCCTCAACCGATTACCAGAGAGAGAGAGAGAGATGGTGAACTCTCTAGGTTAACTGAGGAGGTAGAACGGGGGGTGAGAAGGTAGGACGGGGGGGGGGCGGTTAGATCATCATTGGTAGTTAATTACGGGTCACGAGTCATTCTTCACCCTTACCCAATGGTGGGCTCCGTAATCAGATAATTACTCATCCACAAGTAATTAATGACATTCTCCCTGATAAGCCATTATACCAGCCATTAATTACACACGTGGTTCCCTTCATGTGTCCGCTATTAATCTATAGTTCGATCACGTGTTAGAGGGGTGATAATTGTGTGTTTACCTACGACAACAACCAATACTATCAACAACAACAACAACAATAATACTACTATCAAGAACCACCAATAAGAATCACAACAATAATAATAATAATAATGGTACTTACAGACCAACAGGTGATGACAAGCGTATACCAACATACCTGCAAGACAAAATAAAACATTTAACTTTATAACCAAAAGCTACTGTCAGCACTCACACAGTATGTATGTATGTATGTATGTATGTATGTATGTATGTATGTATGCAACCCCCCCTTCTTCAGGTCGTGGTTTATTAGACAACATGGTGCCAAATAGGGTCTCGAAAGGAACTATGTTGGTGTTTGTTTTCCACACACACACAAAGTACAGATAATTCTCTACAGTAATACAGAAGTGTAGACCAATGACTCGCCTAACCTCACCACACAGATCCCTACCTACCGAGTACACACCATAAAGCACCAGTGAGCTACGGCGCCCAAGGAACCCATGATGGAAGATCCCAGCCTCACTAAACACCTCAGAGGTGAGGTGAGGTGAGGTGGGGTGAGGTGAGGTGGGGTGGGGTGGGGTGAGGTGAGGTGAGGTGGGGTGGGGTGAGGTGAGGTGGGGTGAGGTGGGGTGAGGTGGGGTATATAGTGTAGAAGTGAACTGCCGGAGCAAAAACATGATTGGAGCCGAGAGTTTAACTTTGTATTCGCATTCCTGGTCTGGTTGGCCTTGAAAACTTGGCCATACTCCCTTAACATCTCCTGCTTGCTCTCCTCCTCCTCCTCCTCCTCCTCCTTCTCCAACATGTTACATTATCCTCCATCGCCAATTTCATCCTTCTCCACCACCACACTCACACACTATCCCACACACCACCACACTACCCCACACACTCAATATCTTTCCATCTCAATCACACACAGGTCACCCACTGTGCTTAACTAGCAGGCATACAATATAAAAGGCTAACAACAGCTAAATATAGACAATAAAAGCTATAAAAATGCCATTTCAACGACTAGTTATAGCTGAGATCATGCTAGCAGCGTTTCTGAAACATTCCTACAGGGGTGAGCATTATAGTGTGAGGGAGGTACTAACTAGCTCAATAATCTACTGCTAGTATCCTCCGGGGGGGCCAGGTACTAACTAGTTTCATGTACTGCTAGTATCCTGAGGGGGGGGGGGCTAGTTCTAGTTTTTGTTCGTCTCTTGTATTACTTTGCGTCAGTTTTTATGTGGTGAATAAATTTATATGTCCGGTCCTGTGAACCTGTTCCTTGTGTTGTGATGATGGTGGTGATGCTTATGGTGATGATTAAGGTTATGATGATGGTGGTGTGTGTGTGTGTATAATAAAGTAACACAGGTATCCAGCACACACACACACACACACACACACACACACACACACACACACACACATATCATTATCATCACGTCTGCTTTATCAATCCCATGGTTAAGATCGTGTCGGCCGCTCGGGGTGTTTCCTCACCACACAGCTGTCGGTCTTAACCTTCCCCTCTCGTTAATCCCCTCGGGAGCTGTCAGTTTAACATACCCCGACAGATCAACCTGTTATATGCACAGTAGAAATTAAGTGAGAACAACGCTAACAGGACACTGGTGTTGGGGGGGTGAGGGTGTGTTGGAGGGTGGGTGTATGGTGTGAGGGGGAGGAAAGTGATGGAGAAGTAGCACCATCGATTCCTCAAGTATTAACCAAATTTCAAGGAGAAACAATCAAGCATCAACCAGACCATCAGGGAGGACACACACACCTAGAGGCTACGATTGCTTGTTTTTGCTGCTGCAGGCATAGTTAAGCAAGACGTTGTTAAGGGTGTTGAGTTAACCTGAGGAATACATAATGATCATCTGTGGCCGCTGCCTCGGGTGTGTCCACATTCTTCTGTCTGCTTATTGATAGTAACGACTCTCTCTCTCTAACACCGCCCGCCCCATTCACGCCCCCTTCTATATTTAACTGTGTGTGTGTGTGTGTGTGTGTGTGTGTGTGTGCGTGCGTGTGTGCGTGCGTGTGTGTGTGTGTGTGCGTGTGTGTGTGTGGCCAATCAACAGCCATATTAACAAAACCTCTTGAACTATCACCACCACCACAATTACCACTAACCACAATTACCACCACCACTATCAACCACAACACCAAACACTTTCGCAGATCGTCCATTCAACCGCGGCAGACGAGGTAGCAGCCGCATGCGGACAAGAACTCGACCTAATGTTACGCATTTCTACATTCCTTTCTTCCAAGACGGACATTCCCGCTGTTTCCGCATTGGTCCAGCGTTCCTAGAGTTTGGTAGTGTAACCAGGGATCGTACTCAGGGGGTTTAAATCATCGTACTCAGGGGGTTTAAATCATCGTACTCAGGGGGTGTAAATCACCGTACTCAGGGGGTTTAAATCATCGTACTCAGGGGGTTTAAATCCTCGTACTCAGGGGGTTTAAATCACAGTACGCAGAGGGTTTAAATCACCGTACTCAGAGGGTTTAAATCACCGTACTCAGAGGGTTTAAATCACCGTACTCAGAGGGTTTAAATCACCGTACTCAGAGGGTATCTCATTCCTCACCTGTAGTACTGGAACTGGTCTAGTGAGGTAGTTTGTTATGGTGTGAGGAAGGGGCGAGGTTTTAACCCCTCCACCTCATAACCTAACCTAACCTCTCATATCTGTGCTGGTCAGGTCAGGGGGAGGCTAGATCAGGTCTTGTCAGGGCATGTTAAGTTAGGTTGGTTCAGGGTAGGTTAGCTTAGGTTAGTTCAGGTTAGGTTAAGTTAGGTTAGGTTAAGTTAGGTTAGTTCAGGGTAGGTTAGGTTCGGTTAGGTCAGACTCAGGGCACATCAGGACAAGTCTATTTAAGCGACAAAACAGAGGCCCTTAACTCACCTTTCTTAGCATTATTGTGAAGGTGATGTGTGAAGGCGATGGCCAGCTTCCGACGATGATTACACAGCTTGGTCATGTCACCCGCCCCGAGTTCCGGCAGCAGTGTGGGCCGCGACGGTACCTGCAACACATATAAACACTAAGATTATGACGGTACTTGCAACACATATAAACACTGCCAGGGATAATATGTTAGTACCTGCAACACAAATACACCTAACCTACCTACCCTGGCCTTAATGTGACGGGGGGAGGGGGGGGTAGGCACTTTCCCTCCCCCCTAACGACCATTAAGAGGCGTAATGACTAAGGTTCCTTATCCAATTACAGCCACCCCTTTCACCACACCGCTTCATATCCTGCCTTCACCTCTCTTACCTAACCTTATTACCAACGCTCGGCCAAAAATTACCTTCATCTGGTCTGAGAGAGAGAGAGAGAGAGAGAGAGAGAGAGAGAGAGAGAGAGAGAGAGAGAGAGAGAGAGAGAGCACACTATCGACAAGTATGTGAGTGGTGATGGTGTGTAAGTAGTGGTGATAGTGGTGGTGGCGTCAGTACCAAGGTGAACAAGTCACCGCGCCGCCCGCCGGTAAATAATAAAAAGCGCAACACAAAACAGCAACACAACACAACACACCGCAATAGACCCCAACACAACACAACACAATTTAATAAAAACGCCAACGAACTGAGGACAATATTCTAATACCTGCCACATTGGAGGGGAGGGGTGGGGAGGGGAGGAGGGGGGGGGGAGGAGGGGGGAGGAGGGAGGAGGAGGAGGGGGGGGAGGGGAGGAGGGGGAGGGAGGGGAGAGGGGAGGGGGAGGGGAGGGGAGGAGGGGAGGGAGGGGGAGGAGGGGAGGAGGGGAGGGGGGAGAGGTGGGAGAGGGGAGGAGGGGAGGAGGAGGGGAGGGGGAGGGGCAGGAGGGGGGAGGGAGGAGGTGGAGGAGGGGGAGGAGGAGGAGGGGGAGGAGGGGAGGGGAGGAGGGGAGGGTATGATTTATTTAAGCCCCTGGATATAAGAAAATATAACAATCATTTTAGCATACATATACATACATACATACACATACAATTATACATGCATACACATATACATACATATATACACATACATACATACATACACTACTTGATTGTTTGTTTTTTCAATACCAGAGGTCAAAGGTCACAATACTAGACAAGGTGTGACTTGACCCCTGGATATAACCCTTTCACTAAATCCGGGTATTATAAAGCCACACACACGCTCAATTTAATCAACCGGTGGCAAAAACAACCACTTGGGCGAGGTGCCAATTGACGGCAGCTTGGAGGGTGAAGGAGAGGGGGGGAAGATGTTCATCCCATTTGAATCCAGTAAAAACGGGTAAATTTGAACACTAGCTTTTCCCTGCCTTTAGATAGATAGATAGATCGATAGATAGATAGATATAGGTGGATAGATAGATCGATAGATAGATATATATAGGTGGATAGATAGATCGTGTGAACTTTAACATTAAACAAACTCCTGCATCATGTGATCATTAAACCAATCAATACTGTCCTGTCCCCCCCCCCCTCCTGGCCAGACCCCCCCCCCCTGGCCAGCCCTCCCCTGGCCACCTCACCCCCCCTGGCCAGTCCTGGCACAGCCTGGCCAGCCCCTGGCCAGCCCTCACCACCGCCTGGCCAGTCTCACCCCCTGGCCAGCCCTCACCCCCTGGCCACAAATTCTCATCCTCACCAGTCCTCTGTCCTCCCTGGCTGGCCTCACCTGCCTGGCCAGTCCTCACCTCCTGGCCAGCCTCACCCCCCTGGCCAGCCCTCACCCCCCCCCTGGGCTGTGCTCCTCACCCCCTGGCCAGCCTCCTCAGCTCCCCCCCCTGGCTGGCCAGTCCTCACCTCCTGGCCAGTCTCCTCCCTCCTGGCTGTCCTCACCCCCTCCCTGGCCAGTCCTCACCCCCCTCCTGGCCAGCCTCCTCCCTGGCCAGCCCCTCACCCCTGGCACCTCCCCCCCTGGCCAGCCTCACCCCTGGCTCACCCCCTCACCCTCCTGGCCAGTCTCACCCCCTCCTGGCCAGTCCATCATCTCCTGGCCAGTCCTCCCCTGTCCTGTCTCACCCCCCTGGCCAGTCCTCCCCCTGGCCAGTCCTCACCCTCCCTGGCCAGCCCTCACCCCACAGTCTCACCCCCCCCACAGCCTCAGTCTCACCCCCCTGGCCAGTCCTCACCCCCTGGCCAGTCTCACCCCCCACAGTCCTCACCCCCTGGCCAGTCCTCACCCTCCTGGCCAGTCCTCACCTCACCTCCTGGCCAGTCTCACCCCCTCCTGGCCAGTCCTCACCCTCCTCACCCCCCTGGCCCCCTCCTGGCCAGCCTCACCCCCCTGGCAGCCACCAGCCCTGGCCAGCCTCACCCCTGGCCAGCCTCCCACCCCTGGCCAGCCCTCACCCCCCTGGCTGGCCCTGCCCCTCACCCCCCTGGCCAGTCCTCACCCCCCTCCTGGCCAGCCTCCACCTCCCACAGTCCTCACCTCCTGGCCAGCCCCTCACCTGGCCAGCCTCACCCCCCACAGTCCTCACCCAGCCTCCTCACCCCCTGCCAGCCTCAGCCCCCTGGCAGCCTCACCCCCCCCTGGCCAGTCCTCACCTCTGGGTTGCGCCCTCACCCCCTGGCCAGTCCTCACCCCCTGGTTGTCCTCACCCCTGGTTACCCCCCCCTGCCTCACCCCCTCCTGGTGCCTCACCCCTCCCCTCGGCAGTCCTCACCCCCCTGGCCAGTCCTCACCCCTCCTGCCACCTCTTGCTGGCCAGTCCTCACCCCTGGCTGTCTCACCCTCCTGGCACCTCACCCCTGGTTCACCCCCTGGCCTCACCCCCTCCTGGTGCCAGCCTCCTCACCTCATTAGTCTCTCACCTCCTCACCCCCCTGGCCAGCCCCTCACCGGGTCAGCCCTCAGCCCCCTGGCTAGTCCCTCACCCCCCTGGCCAGCCTCAGCCCCTCAGCCCTCACCCCCCTGCCAGTCCTCACCCCCTGGCTCAGTCCTCACCCCCTGGCCAGCCCTCACCCCCTGGCCAGCCCCTCACCCCTTGGCTTGCTGTCCTCACCCCCTAAGAGGTGAACGAGGGCGCATGACCTGGCAGGCAGCCACAAGTTAAGTCGACGAGGCGTCATCACTATGCATTAATCACGACCTTAGGATTATTGGTGCTGGGGGAGGGGGTGGAGGGGTTGAGGGAGGAGGGGAGGGTGTTGAGGGAGGGTGTTGAGGGTGTTGGAGGGGGGGTGAGGGGGGAGAGGGGAGGGGGGTGGGTGGGAGGGGTGTTGGAGGGAGGGAGGGGGAGGGGGTGAGGGGAGGGTGAGGGTGCTGAGGAGGAGGGGTGGAGGGAGGGGAGGGGTGCGAGGGAGGAGGTGCGGAGGGTGTTGAGGGAGGGGTGAGGGTGTTGAGGGAGGGGGAGGGTGAGGGAGGGTGAGGGTGTGTTGAGGGGTGAGGGTGTTGAGGGAGGAGGTGAAGGTGCTGAGGGAGGAGGTGGAGGGAAGGAGGGGAGGAGGTGCTGAGGGAGGAGGTGAGGGTGCTGAGGAGGAGGTGAGGGTGCTGGGGAGGTGAGGGTGGGAGGAGGGTGGAGGTGCTGAGGGGAGGAGGTGAGGGTGCTGGAGGGAGGGGTGAGGGTGCTGGGGAGGTGAGGGTGTTGGAGGGAGGTGGGAGGGGTGGGGGGGTGAGGGGGTGAGGAGGTGAGGGTGCTGAGGGAGGAGGGTGAGGGTGCTGAGGGAGGAGGTGAGGGTGCTGAGGGAGGAGGGTGAGGGTGCTGAGGGAGGAGGTGAGGGTGCTGAGGGAGGAGGTGAGGGTGCTGGGGAGCATTCAATATTTATTGATGTGGTCAAAACCTGCAGAGGAGAAGGCGTTCATTAGTATTATATGGTGATCCATCTGATCCATCTTAGCTTCGCTTCATTCTGCGTTGTCTTATTATTCCAGGTTAGGCAGAAACGAGTAGGCGTAATTAGTCAACAATATTTCAGTACCGAGGGGTATGTCATCACTTAGGGCGATCTGTCTCATGGAGGGGCGGGCAGTCACCGCCACCCGTCTTAAGACAGTCCACTCAGCAGGTCACAGGTCGAAAGATTTAATGGCATCACACGCCAGCACTGTAGCTGAAGCCAGTGGCGATAACAAAACAACAGACAGACAGACAGACACAGACAAACAGACAGAAAAACAGACAGACACAGACCGACAGACTCCTCGATAAGACGCTCTAGGAGTCTTCACCCACTCTCCATGGAGGCCACATCTCGTTACAGTCTTCACGCGCAGACCATAATACACAGACCATGATGTGACACGAGGCGGATATTGGCGGGTAGCCCAGAGGAGCCCACTGGTGGAGGAGGAGAAGAAGAACGCCCTACTCACGCGCCGCCCTGTCCTCGAGAGCATTAACTAGACTTTAACCTAACAACCTTGACCTCTCACTGCTAGCATTAACATTAACCTAACAACCTTGACCTCTCACTGCTAGCATTAACATTAACCTAACAACCTTGACCTCTCACTGCTAGCATTAACATTAACCTAACAACCTTGACCTCTCACTGCTAGCATTAACATTAACCTAACAACCTTGACCTCTCACTGCTAGCATTAACATTAACCTAACAACCTTGACCTCTCACTGCTAGCATTAACCACATTTCCTGTCAGTGTTGCCAATGAAGAATAATAAGAGGGAGATGACTGGCAACAATGCAATGGGCCACCTTGAAGGGGACAGTTCAATGTGTCTGACACACACACACACACACACACACACACACACACACATTCTGCCAGGTAAGTGATTCAATGACGATAAAGGATTGTAGGTTAGGTTAGATTAGTGTTAAAGTCAACAGGTAGGGTGTTGAGGGTGTGGGAGGGAAATAGGGAGCAGAAGGAGGTGTAGGATGGGAGGGGCGGGGGGTGTAGGAAGGTAAGGTGGCAGCATGAGACACGGGAGGCGAGCGGGAAGGCCACAAGAGAAAGCTTGGGCGGGAGGAGGAGGGCGGAGGCAGCACGGTCACAGACAACAGGTGGCGAGCACCGGCTGACAACCCCCACGAGAGAGAGAGAGAGAGAGAGAGAGAGAGAG